GCCTTTCTTGTTCCCTCCCTCTCCCTTCTCACTCCTCCCACCCCTTCCCCCTCTCTCTTCCCTTCTTCCATCTCCTCCTCTTTCCTCTGCCCCTCCTCCTCCCTCCCCGCTCCCTTTTCTAGCCCCCCTTGGTCTTCCTCCCCTTCCCCATCTCCTCCCTCCCTTCTCCCTGTCCCACCTCTCCCCTGGCCTCCTCCCAGCCCCTCCCCTCCCCCTTGCTCTTTCTTCTCTCTCCTCCCCTCCCCCAGCCCCTCCCCCTCACAGGCAGTCCGCCCTCACGTATCACATTAGTAAATACCTCATAGACATTCATCTGGGCCATGGTTCTCAAACCTTCTGCCTTTAGGCTCCCTCTACACTTTTCAAAACTATTGCAGGCTCCAAATGGCTCTGGTTTATGTGGATTATATCTATCAATGTCTGTCGCACTCGAGATTAAGACTGAGAAAAATTGTAAAGCACAAAAGAGTACAGAAGCAGACGTTCCACTGGCCTTCACGGAGATGCTTTGGCCACTGGTCAATCGTCTCTGGGAACCTGGTGAGAGAATGAGAGCAAAAAAAAGTTTCAGTATTATTATGAAAATAGTTCTGACCTTGAGGACCCCCTGAAAGTTTCCCTACTCTGAGGCCTCTCTGAGAGTGTCAGGGCCCCTGGAGGAGCTTGGGAAAGCAGCCGGAAGAGGCCCTCAGGGGAGGCTTTGGGGCAACCAGGGCCAGCAGAGGAAGTCACAGAGGGGCTCGAGACAACCTGGGCCTGTGAACTGCTGGAAATCTTTTTCGAAGGAGGACGTCTGGGATCCTGGGTAAGCACAGCCCCTGGGTTAGAAGATCAGGCGGGCAAGGGTTGGGGCCACGTTGCCTGCCCAAGCCTGGGAGAGCTGACTGAGTAGGATCGCAGAGATCTTCATGGCCCAGACTTGCCTGCTGAGAAAAACCACGCGGTCACCAGCAGGCTAAAACACATCTGGACTGGGCGGGCCTGAGGCGGGCCAGGAATTCTGCCGCAGTGTGTTGGGGAAGCCCAGATTGAAGCTTCTCGTCTCGGGATCCTTTGTGAGCATGTGACGCTAAACCTCTCAGCCGGAAGAGGAAGGAATCGGGTCGGTCACCCTAAGGGCGTGCTACACACTCCCATTTCCAGACAGGACTTGGCTTGGGCGGGCTGGCCTTCAGGGATGGCCCATCTCCACCAGGGAATGTGACCTCCAGTCGGCTGCCTCGGGGCCAGTTCAGTGGAAGAAATGAAATGATTTAATATGTTTGCATCATTATAAAAAGGATGAGTGGGGAAGGTAGGGGTTGGTTAATGGATACAAAATTACAGCTAGATAGGAGGAATAAGTTCTGGTGTTCTATACCACTGTAGGGTGACTATAATTAAAAATTTATTGTATGCTTTCCAATAGCTAGAAGAGAGAATTTTGAATGTTCCTGTCAACCTGAATAACAAACAGAGAGAGGCTCTGTAAAAAAAGATACTTTTATCTGGCAATGGGGCATTGCAATGGGAATGTGCACGCCACAGTAAACTATGTATTCAGGAAGGTAAAGGAAAAAAAGGTTTTAAAGGGGAAAAATGAGGATGATTACACATCCTCATCCTCATATCTTATGAGGATAATTACACATATTACTCTGAAATAATTATTCATGGCTACAGAGATCAATGAACAGATCTCGCCGGTCTGAGGTTGGATAGGCGGTTGCTGGGCAAATGTCCTTGCAGAGGTATTTGTGTAAGGCTGCAAGGGCCTTTGTGCAAGACTGGTTTTTACAGAGTCTTTTGTGATAGTTTTTGTTATCAGGTATACTAGCATGAGGACCTCTCTTCATGTCCTTCTTTGGATCTATTTTTCAGGGTTTTTTTTTTAACACTAGTGACTCCATTTTGATTCTGACAACTTTCACATCCCCAACACAAAGAAATGACAAATGTTTGAGGGATGGAGATGCTAATTACTCTGATCATTATACATTGTACACATGTCTCAAAATATCACACCGTACTCCATAAATACATATAATCATGTGTCAATTAAAAATAATTTTTAAAAATATTTTTTAAAAAATAGAATCAGGAAAAAAAAGGATGTAGAACCCTCTAATAAGAAGATGGGATCAGGAATGATGCCATGGATAAATATGAACAACTTATCATAAGTCAGGTAGGAGCATTTATGGGAGGACTGTGACAACAGGAAATGCCTATCTTTGAACCCAAGGTTATCTAACCTGCACACCACTTGTGCCTGTTTAACTTTGTCATAAACCAGGAACCAGGATGCAGAAGTCACTGTTTCCAACCTGTGTGTTTTCTACAATAATAGACTGCCTCCCACTCTTAGGCCTATACCCAAGAGAAATTAAAGCATGCCCTCACAAAAATTTGAACACAAATGTTCATAGCATTATTCATAATAGCCCAAAGTGGAAACAACCCAAATGTTCAATAGATGAATGGATGAACAAAATGTAGTATATCCATGCAATGGGACGTCATTCAGCAATAAAAATGAATGGAGACCATCTATCCCTGCTGCCATGACCCCTTTGTTCATGGGCCCATGGAGCAAGCACTGCAGCAGCTGGGTGGAAAGGCTGTCTGACATCCACAGAGCATGTAGTTTTGTCCACCTGATTAAGAGTCCCCTCTGCAGTGGATGCCCTTTGGTGGACATTCACATGGGACACAAATATTTTTGCAACATGTGCCCATTCCAAGGGGTGCAGCCACATACTTCTTTCCAAAATTTTCTTATCACCACTCTTCCAATACTGTTCTTTTCAGGGCCCTGACCACCCAACCAGGCCATCAGGAACTGCCTGTGAATCAATGTAGATCTGTACCCTGGCCATCTCGCACTCCAGACATAGTGGACAACCACATATACAGCTTGCATTTCTGCCCACTGGGAGAACTTTACTTCACCACTGTCCTTCACAGTGAACCCTGAGTATGAGTGGCTGCTGCTGTAGCTGTCCACTTTCATGAGGTGCCGGCACATTATACAGACCCACCTGTAATCCAGGATAGAGTTTTCCTTCCACAGTCAACTGGCCATAAGCAACATCCCAAGAGGCCGTAAGCACAGAATGAGGGAGAAGAGGCAAAGCAATAGGAGTTGGTGTGGAAGGAGCCTGAGCCACCTGCTCAATTTACTTGTACCTTTTAAACCTTCCTCAGCCCAGTCTCTAATATATCATTTCTATTTGGTGATAGATTGCCGCTATCCAGCAATCTATCAGTTGTATGTCCAACTTTATGGTCAGGTAGGTGAGACAACATCCAGTTCATGGTGGGAGCTCTGGCTGCATGGTTACCTGATACCCCATGGTTAGGCATTCAGCCTCTGCCAAGCCCCAGCAGCAAGCCAGAACCTGCTTCTCAAAAGGGGAAGAGTTGTCTTCATAAAAGGGGATGTATTTGCTTCAAAATTATGGAGATCTTCACTGTCTCCTATTAGTGCTTGCCAGAGGCTTCATAGAGCATTCCTATTTGACCTGTCAAGTACCACTGGATCTGTTGGATCATAAGACCCAAGAGGTAGAAGCAGCTTTACTGCCGCCTAAAGCTTCTGCAGAGCCTAATCTTATTCTGGTCTCCGATCCAGCAGCCTGTTGATTGGGTTGAAGCAGTACACTCATAGGTGGTATATGTTGTCTCCAAAATCCCAAACAGCCTACTGCTATAGATTGAATGTTTTGACCCCCAAACCCCAATGTGATAGTCTTAGGAAATGGTGCATTTGGGGGTGATTAGATCATGAGGATGGAACCCTCATGAATGGGATTGGTGTCCTGATAAAAGAGACCCCAGAGAGCTCCTTCGCCCCTTCTGCAATGTGAGGACACAGCAAGAAAACTGATGTCTGTGAACCAGGAAGCAGGCCCTCACCAGGCACAGAATCCACCAGCACCTTGACCTTGGACTTTTCAGCCAACAGAACTGTGTTAAATAAATTTCTGTTGTTTATAAGCCACCCAGTCTATGGTATTGTGATAGCAGCTAGCATGGACTAAGACACCAAGCTCGGTGCCTCTTTTTTCCTGTAGGTCATGTAAGATGTAGCACCTCATCTTTCACTCTGAGAGGGATATTTCAACATGCTCCGGGCCACTGAGCCCCCAGAAATTTCACTGCTAGCACCGATTCTGTATCAGCCTAGGTCCGATCAAGAGAAAGAAGCCATTGAGTAATGCAAACAGGAAAAGTTTAATATAAGAAGTGCTACCTTTATCAGGAGATTGGAACGATGAGGTACTGGTCAATAAAAAGTAAAGAGAATGCTAAGCAATATGGGAAGGATAGCATCAGAAGCAGCCACTGCCCTGGAACTGAATGCTCCTTCAACTTTTGTGACAGTGATTAACTGAACTGCACTGCTGGCTGTCCCTTTGTCTCCAGCCATCACTAGCCCGCAGGGTCCTTGAGGTCAGGGACCACTTGTCTTGCTCTCCATTGTCTCTCCAGTGCTAAAGGGGGAGGCCTGGCACCCCGGAAGGCTCTAACTATATATGAGCGAATGAATGACTCGCAGCCCCCAGGAGAATTAGCCTGTCTCCCGCCACATGTGCTAGCCCCAAAAGAAAGGAATCTACAACGCACACCTGGATGCTCCGGTCCAACCTGGAGTGGCTGATAAGGCCTGCAAGGCAGCCGTCTGTGCGGGGCTGTGTGTAGCCTGTGTCAGCCTCTCTTTACGAGGAGGCAAAGCCCACCCCAACTTCCCAGATTGTCCCCAGACCCGGAGCTACACAGTAACTCCAAAGAGTCCCACGCTGTAAAGGCGCCACACCGCTGGGCCTCGCCTCTGGGACTGTGGCAGGTGTAGGTGGGATTCCCATCAAAGGCTCCTCTTCCGACCTAGAAAAGCAAGTGCTGAGGCCCGCCGGCCGGCCGGGGCGGGGCCCCCCCGCAGCCCCTCCCTGGGGGAGTGGGGGGACGAGCGGGGCCTAGAAAGCAGGCGGGAGGCCCAGGCCCCCAGCAGAGGCCGGGCCATGGGCGACCTGTTCAGGGAGCGCACGGAGCGGCTGCTGGCCGACTACCTGGAGTACTGCGCCAGGGAGCCGGGCACCCCGGGGCTGCCGCCGTCCTCGCTGGAGGCGGCCGCGCTGCGCCTCGCAGCCACCAAGATTCGGCAGAAGCACGCGTCTTTCTTCTCGGCCTACGTGGGCTACCCGGGGAACCGCGTCTCCCTGATGGAGCGGATGGCGGAGGCCGTGCTCTCCGACAGCCTCAGCTGGGGCCGCGTGGTGATGCTCCTGACCTTCGCGGGGACGCTTCTAGAGAGAGGGCCGCGGGTGACCGCCTGGTGGAGGAAGTGGGACCTCAAGCCGCAGCTGAAGGAGGGGGATCCCGAAGTCGCCCGGGACTGCCAGCGCCTGGTGGCCCTGCTGAGCGCTTGGCTCGCGGGGCAGCACCGCGCCTGGCTGCAGGCGCAAGGTGGCTGGGTGAGCGCGTCGCTGCGCGGGGACTTCGGATTTGGGGTGCGGGGTGGGGGGCGAGGTCCCTCGAAAGAAGCAAGGCTCCTTTTAGCGGGACTGGGACGCTGGGTGTGAAGTCCAAGTTTCTCAGACTGGCAGGGATCGGCCTTGTGAACCCATTCGGAGGCAGCTGCGCCTGACTTGGGTCCGCATGGTCCGACCTTGCTCTCGCCTTGGTCCGCCCTCGGGGGGCTCTCAGGAAGCGCCCACCTTAGGTCTGGATGCTTTGCCCGTGTAGACATCCCCGACTAGGACAGTGAGCAGCGGGGGGCCCGGGCCACGTGGGGTTTGTCCTCCGCCTATCAAATGCACGTCTGGAGATACTCAGACCCTCTGATCGAACACAGCCCTTATCAGGAGGAGCCCAGGCCACCGGGGCTGGAATGTGCGTGGTCGCCAGTTGGCGCTGACTGGTTAAGGTTAAGGTCTCAAGAAGAGTTAAGGAATCTTAGGCCAGTGTTTTAAGTCATGACAAGTACTCAGAAGTGTTAGGACAAGGACACAGATGGCTCTTCTTTGAGCGGGGAAATCAGAGTCCTAAAGGCTCATGGCTCCAAAGAATTGCAGAAGAAACTGCATCCCATTAAATGGGAATATGGTGCTATTTGCTTAACTCTTTTTGAGACAAAGTCCAAGTTGGTCATGAATTCCTGAGCTCAAGCTTCTGCCTCTCTAGTGGTTTGGGATTGCAGGCGGGCACCAGATCACCCGGCTGGTTCCTTAACTCCTAATCCACTGTACCCAGCCCTCAGTAGGGACATATGCCTCTTGGGTTCTCACTAGGCCCCCTGTTTCTTTCTTCTCCTTATTGGAGTTGAATCAATGCTGAAGTGACTCGTGTTATGGGATAAATATAGCCAAATTATTAAAACCAGGGATATAAAAGATAATTTAGCCTCCTGTTGGCAGTTTCCATTTAGGCATCTTATAGTGGCTAATTGGGTTCCATTTGAGGGCAAAAGGTAGCATGACGTGTTAGCATTAACTCCGGCACCATTCCCGGTGTTGGTCTTCCACCTTCTGCATCCATCCTTGATCTACCTCAGCTGAGTTCTAAGAACCTCACCTGAGCCGTTTGTCTCAACAGGTATCTACACCTAAAGAGAAAATGGGGGATGGAGGGCATTGTTTTTTTTTTCTTTTTTTTTTGACCGCATTTTTTTGGCTAATCAGCACTGACTAAAGATTAGTCTCTTAATGTCAAGAAGCCAAAATTCTCAAATTGGATACACAGGATTTCCCCGCACCTCTGCCAGCTGCAGTTAAAATACCACAGCCTGGAGTTCCACTCCCTTCCTACATGGAGCCGCTTGCTCCATTCTCAGGTGATAACTTTTCAATCTAGTGCTTTGACAGTTTCCCTAATGGCACCTTTTTCTCAGAAACCATGAGATAGTAGTCCACCTTCCTCTTGGTTTGGAATCAAAATGAGCGTTCCTGCTCTAAGTGACAAAGCTAAATGGCTGCTTCTGTCCACCTCCCTGGACTACTTCCTACGAATCCTAAATCCTCAAGGGTTCCCAATTAGAGGAATTCTGCCTATTGGTCAGAATTTCATTTCCTCTTACTCTCTGAATCGAAGTTGTTCTACTGTTTAAAGTGGAAACTTCTGTGTATTTGGAGCATCACGAAGCAATATAATTCTTTTCTCTCTCTCCCATGTAGGATGGCTTTTGTGACTTATTCAGGAAACCCTTACCACTAGCTGTTTGGAGGAGACTGCTGGCCCAGGTTCTTTTGTCATGCTTTTTAGCAACGACCGTCATCTATTTCTGGACACGATTATTATGAATTTTTAAAATTTTAACCGATTTTTACCTTGCCTAACTGACCAAGTGATTGGAGATGAGAGAACGAGAACTGAAGTAAACCACCTTCCCTGAGATGTTTTTACCTGACTGCACAAGGAATTCTGAGGTGACAACTTGGCCAGTGTTTTAACTCATGACAAGTACTCAGAAGTGTTAGGACAAGGACACAGATGGCTCTTCTTTGAGTGGGGAAATCAGAGTCTAAAGGCTCATTGCTCCAAAGAATTGCAGAAGAAGCTGCATCCCATTAAATGGGAATATGGTGCCATTTGCTAAATTTGGCTAAAAGTGAATATGAACCTCTATCCATGACTTCATGTGCTGCTAATTTTAATCATGGCCATGGGTCAGGGGCAAAATGATTCCCCAAAGCAATCTAAGTCCCAGTTTAACAAGGAATGTAATATTAAAACCTCTTATAAGGAATTCTTTGAAATCTAATTCTTTGAAACGTAAATCCTTTGAAGTCTAATTTCTGGGACTTGTAGATTTTTAGTGTTTAATATTTCTGACTTCAATAAATTCTTAAATAACTTCAAACTTTTAATAAATTCATCTTTTAAAAAAATTTCATTGGCTTTCCAGATTCAATTAGCCTTTATTCTTAGGAGTAACTTGATGACAATTTCCATTTTTGTCTCCTAAAATATACACGTGAGGCTTTCTTTTAAACATTTAATCAACACATCAAGCTCGAGTTCTTCCTCTCTTTCACCTTCCATCCTGCAGTCAGCCCATCACCTGCAAGGTGGTTAAGTGCACCTTCTCTCTAGGTCTTCCTGGCTGTCGTCATACTTGCATGTTGTTAACCTTAACTGGACTGCTATTGGCCTTGATCCTATGAGTACTTCATCTTTAAAGCACGCACTCTGCCTGGCTGCTCTGGCTGTTGAAGTGCACACTCCTTATACCAGGATAAGCTGATTTAACTATCCTATTGCTGTGTATTTTAGGGTGTTTCTCCTTTTGTGGGCTATTAGAAACATTGTCTGGAATTTTTGTACATAGACTTCCACACATGATTATGTTGGTAAAAGAATTCTAGAAAGAGATTCTGGATCCCAATTCATATGTATTAAAACATGGTTACTACCAAGCTATTACTCAGAATAGGCTCTACCAGTCCAAACTTACACCAGGGCATGAGAATCCTTAGCTTGTCATGCTCTTGCCGATGTTGGATCATCCTCAGTCTCTGCCTTTATGGCTTTGGGGATTTGGGTTTTTAGGAAGGTCATCCTTGACCCACGATTATAAAAAGTATTTTATGTTCTATGTCACTGATCCATTCTGGAATTCTCGTGTTTTGGTTTTCTGGATTTTTCTTTTTTTTTTTTTCTGGAGAAGGGGTCTTTGTCAGCAAGGCTGGAGCACATTGGCACAATCATGGCTCACTGCAGCCTCCAATTTCTGGGCTCTGGCAATCCTCCTGCCTCAGCCTCCTCAATAGCTGTGACTGCAGATGCATACCACCACACCTGGCTAATTTTTCTTTTTGTTTTTTGAGTCAGGGTCTCACTATGTTGCCCAGGCTGATCTCATACTCTTGGCCTCAAGTGATCTTCCCACCTCAGCCTCCCAAAGTGCTGAGATTACAGGTGTGACCCACCGTACTCAGCCAGCTTCTCTTTTTCTAAAAGAAGAGTTGGAGATATTTCAGTGTTGGTCATTGACAGTCCTATATTCCCCTGCTGATTTAAATGTATTCACTATTTTGTTCCATTGACTTATCTTTTCTTCCAATAGCTCTGCCTCAATTACTGTATCTTCCCAGCATGTTTGATCATCTGACAGGAGAAGTCTAATCCCCTCCCCTAGCATTGTTGTTTTTCAAAAATCCTTGGCTATTTTTGTGAGTAGTTTAAGGTTAATTTTTAAAACCAGTTTTTATTTTTTATTTTTTTGAGACAGAGTTTCACTCTGTTGCCCCAGCTAGAGTACCGTGGTGTCAGCCTAGCTCATAGCAACCTCAAACTCCTGGGCTCAGGCAATCCTACTGCCTCAGCCTCCCAAGTAGCTGGGACTACAGGCATGTGCCACCATGCCCAGCTAATTTTTCCTATATATTTTAGTTGGCCAATTAATTTCTTTCTATTTTTAGTAAAGACTGGGTCTCACTCTTGCTCAGGCTGGTTTCAAACTCCTGACCTCGAGCAATCCGCCTGCCTCAGCCTCCCAGAGTGCTAGGATTACAGGCGTGAACCACCGCGCACCTGGCCTAAAACCAGCTTTTAAAGAATGCATACGTACATTGCTTTAGGATTTTGATCAGGAGGGAATTGGATCAATAGTGTCTTCCCACCTACAAACATGAACTCCTGCTTCATTTGTTCGATGGTTTTCTTTATATAGGTTCTATAATCTTGGCCAGATATTTTCCAACTCTTTGGTTCTTGTAGCTATTGAGGATGGAATATATAGAGGAGGCTGTCTGGCTTCCCCAAAGCATTTCCTCTTGTGATGACAGCTCACTGACCTTACAGGAATCTACCCATCCTCTGTTCTTGCACCACGTGGCTCTGGTGGGGTTGATTCCTCCCCACCCCAGGATTGGGAACGTGACCCAGATCTGGCCTAACAGATCCCCTTTGGGGCAAGGTGACAGGGCTCAATTCCAAACACTGTCAGGGGAGACTCTTTCTGTATACTACATGGAGAAAGCCTTCCTGGTAGAGAATACTGCACAAAAGGAGAAAGTCCGAAGATTTGGGGACGGGCAGGCTGGAGAAACAGTTCTGGGGACATTGTTTATATCTCCCAATTTGGCTGTGCCTGAAGCTACTTGGGACTCAGATCTCTTTTTCTCCTTAAACTGATTTTTCTTGCAAGTAAAACTCAGCTCAGTCCTGAGCCCCAGAATCAATTTCTCCCTATTACATTGATCTTTTGGTGATGGCTGCCATAAAAAGAAACAGTGTAGATTCTAAGTCTGGCTATTTCGAACTCTCATTAGTTCTAATATTTCTTTCCCAACACTTACACTTTACTTTCTTTTTCTTGGTTAATCGCATGCATTGTGAATGGTAGTGATAGCTGTTCTCTGTCTAGCGGGAATTCTGTGGGTTTCTGGTGTATTGATAACTGCCTTGTCTTCCTGCCCACTTTCACTTTAGCATTGCAGGAGGGAGGAGATGCGGGGACATTTGCAGGAGGAAGGAGATGCGGGGACATTGTTCAAACTATAATCCAACCTAAATTCTCTCAGGTTCTTGGAGTCAATTAAGGATTAGACATGCCTGTGTTAATCCTCCACAGTAAGAACCTATCACCTAAGGTTGAGCGGTGTTGATGGCGCGATGGGGAGACCTTCCAATGTCAGGGAGTGTTTTTGACGACAATGTCTAGGCACAAGAAGGAAGGATTATTTTTCCCATGTGGTTTCCCACGCTGCTGTTTTCTACCATGTGGATGCTTGTTCACAAGCTTAGTATTCTGGGCTCATAAGAGGAAGGATGGTTAGTGTGATATACACTGATCACTCTGACAGTTCCAGCACTCTCAGAGTGCTGATTCTTATCCCCCAAGATACTGTAAGTCATGGGTTTCCCCCCACTTCTCAAGGGGTGACAGTCCTGAAATCTTGGAGGCTTTGGGCCAGATACCCTGCCCCTTGTCTACTTTAAGGGATATAATATCTTCGTTATTATCCTCTCTGGGTTTTGCTGCATTTTTGGCTTCTACCTGGGCACTTCGAGGTAAATGCTGTTCGCTTCAAACCCATCAATTTTTTTCCCAGTTGTACTTTCCCTATGACCTTGGAGAGCTTTTTTGCCCCAACCGCTCATCTCCCTGCTGTTTCCCCCACCACTATCATCCCAGGACATATTCTTTCCCTCTATTCATCAAAATGTTCTCCATTCCCCCTCTCGCAGCCTTTCTTGGCCACATGTTCCTTTAGGACCTTAAACACTCCTTCCAGCACTCTCTGATCCCTTGCCGTCTTTGCGTATCCCAAATCCATCTGCAGTTTGGCTACCTGGAGTACACTAGTAAAATAATTCTCAGGGAGAGATCCTTGTTCAAAAATCTTTGTGGATTCCTCACTGCCCGCAATGGAAATGAACCAAGCCCCCAGGACTGGCTTTCAATGTCTCCCCACATTCCTGTCAGTCCAGCTCACTGTCCCCTGGGTTCATGGTCTGCATCTTGTCAGCCTCTTTCTGTTCATGCCATTTCTCCAACAACACCACTCTTTCCCATCTGCTGTGTCGCCGTTTGTTGAAGTCCTTCAATACCCACATTCGATGTTATCTCCCCAGTGAAGTTTCAAGAGAACATTCTCCCTCTTGGCGCTAAACATTGTCTATAATCCATGGGTGGCTTAAGCTGTGGCTTTGTGTTTTAGTTCCGCCTTCCCTTGCCCTCTCTGTCCCCTTCTCTCACTCCCTCAGTTGGGCTGTAAATTATCTTAAAAAGCACACATCCCTGTCTTCTACTACCCTCAATTCATTATCAACACAAAGCCAAGCATTCATGGGGCTCAAATACTTAATAACTGAACTTAATAATGACCTTCCTTATCTTTTTAATGGCCCTCAGGTGCATAGAAACACATTAATCATTAGTTCATAACACACTCATCATTGCTTCATGCATGCATGGTGGTCTTATTTATTGTTACTGAAATAAGAACCATAAACTCACCACTCATTAGAAGAACTAGGGCCTTGCCCAAACTATAACTAGCTCTATGATCTTTGCCAAACCCTTTCTTCTGCAAGCACTTAAAGCTACCAAGTGAAGTGCCCATGCTATGAGAGTGTGCCAGGCCGGGGCTAATCCAGAGGATTCCAGGCAGGCCTCCCTCTGGAAGGGATGCTTGAGTCCCAGGACCTGAAAGCCCTGAGGAGCAGAGAGGAG